AAATTAGCTGCTGCAGAAGTAAAAACAAGCTTACGGACTTGAAATCTGTCATTTTAATTGCATTAAACATCTGTTACAACAGTTGTTCTCTCGGAGCACAACTTAGGAATACAAAATACACCCAGGCACCTACACTTCATGCTTAACTGAGGCTAGAGATATCTAGGTAGAAAATTAATGGCATACAGGATATTTAAGGGAAACTTACCGGTCAGTGTCAAACGCAGACTGCGGACTGCAGACAGCCAACCTGGGGTGAAATGGAGACTGAGGGTAAAATGCAGACTGCAGACTTTTCAACTGAATCCCTAGAATCATGATACCATTTCCATCATTGAGCCAACCGTAAACAGGCTAACAGGAGCGTTATTCAGGCTAACCTGAGTGATGTTCAGGTTAACCTGAGTAATATCCAGGCTAACCAGAGTGCAGACTTAACTCCGACAGACGTGAGTAACCCTGCTTAAGGTTAGCACTCGATAATTGAAACATCACGATATATAATTTAACCGTCTACGCCCCGTCCGCAGTCTGCGTTTCACAGTGACCAGAAGAATAAATGGAATATGGGATATTTAGATCACGTAAAACGGGAAATTCAGGAGGAAAATCTTTAATCTTCGGAGTTTTTTCATTTGGAATTGACAAGATACGCGATATTTAGGCCAAACATTAACGGGATGTGAGATACTCAGACACTTCTAATGGAGCCTCTTGGATTATTTTAAAAAAGCTAACACCTGGAGTTTTAAGACCAACTGCTGAGGTATTTTACATATCTGATAGATACTCCTTGAGTTCTAAAGTGAAGTGAAAATTAAAGTGGATTAAAAATTATATATCTAGGTAGCAGCATATCTAGTTGACTCTGCTCCCTTATTACACGAAACAGACCCCCATTATATAAAAACCCATTCAGCATAAAATTTAAAATTAAATAGGTTTTTCTTTGTAAAATCAGGTCAATTTAGTTCACTCAAAAAGCAGACATTGTATGAGTAGCACAAGTGAATAAATGAAAGGTCATATACTTGAAGTGCAATTAATCATTGCATCGCAGATCAATCATAACTCCATTGTCTGAGTAGAATGCACTTTACGACTAATAAAACACTGCACATACCCGACCCCAGTTGTTCAAAGAGTAGATAGTGCTATATATCCACCGGTTAAATCACTATCCAGTCGATAAGTGTTGGCAAAACAACCTACTTTATCTACTGGGCAGCAACTTATCAGGTGGAAAGCGTTATTCAACCTTTAACAATTGGAGCACGCTTTATAGAGTTGCCTGTCTATTGTTGGATTATACAAATTCCAATACTTAATTTTCAATAGGATCCTCTATTTCAAAATGACCTCATCAAGTAGAACACACTTACAGTGTAATATCAACTATTTATTAACCGAGAGTAAGGTCCTTACGGGAAAATCTCAGACCGAGACCTTGCTGTATTGACCGAACGATAGCGAGGTCAATACGGCAATGCCGAGGTATGAGATCTTCCCGTAAAGACCGAACATTCGAGGTTAATAAGTAGTTTATTATATGGCTTTTTGCTTGGTTTTTGTAGGCCCGTAATCAGCCCGTGGGCATTACGGGAGAATAATGCCCTAGTAGTAGCCAATCAGAGCGCGCGTCATATCGGCTACAAACGCAAGTCATATAATAAACACTTAGAATACACAAAGCGAACTAGAATACACTTATTTCAAAAACCCACAAACAGTTTTTATTCAGGGGTTTAAAAAACCCCAGCCTGTTCCACGCTCTTGGTCAGTGGGGACGATCGAAAAAGAGGGTGGGCGACGAGCGGGATTAACGACGAGTGAGATCCGGGAGAGAAAAGGAGAGGGTAGGACCTCTCCTTTTTCTCTACCAGACCCTGCTCGTCGCCTGCCCGCTTTTTCTATCGTCCCCACTGACCGAGAGCATGGAACAGGCTAAAAAAAAAACCCCGAATAAAATAAGAACCTAAACCGCATGATTTCCCATTAAACAACAGATGTATAGGAGCCTATTCAGACTGAGCTATAAAAATGTAGGTTCTCATACAAGCCTGTTAACTGTATTCACAAGTATTGTCATTTTCACTGGATGGATGTTAGCCAAACGTCAGCATAAATGGTGTTAGCTACACTACAAAACATTAACTGTACATGAAGCACAGTCTTGTTATCGTCCTACGTGCAGAAGCTGTATTTTTCTTTCTTTTTTTTCAATTTCAACTAAATCTTCGCCTGTATAGATCTCTATATCATAAAACAAAAAAATAGTTTCACCATGCTTCAAGTCTTTTTTTAAACACCCATTTGTAAAAACAAAGCATGGTTATGGCTTTGTAATTTGTAAATAATTGCTGCAGCTAGAGTCTACAGAACACATATTTTTTGTGTGTGTCCTGTAAAAATTTACATGTACCCATGCGTTCGAAAGCTAAAAAATAAACACATTTAGGTCTAGTTCACTTGGTTATTTTTCATTAACCCAGTCTTCAAGAACCTTAACTACATCCATTCTCTCAAGATCCTTCCCCTTCAAGATTTCAATCAGTTTCCCAACTGTAGCCTCAAGTTTCTTTGACCATGTTTTCAGAATTTCATCTGTAGGGTTTTTCAACTGCCCTATAAAGTTTGTCTCATCTTTGTCTAGTCCAACCTTCTCTGCAAGCATCCTGAAGTCATCAAATTTCACATCTCTTTTGACATTCAACATCATGCAGATTCTTCCATGCACACTCAGCGGTATCCCTTTAATGCTAGTTGAAAGCCGAGCATTTACCTGACTGCCATTCTGATTCCCTCCTGCATCAACCATATCATCTGCCATCTTTTCTCTGCTCTCGCTGGTAGAATTTCCTTCTGATAAGCTTGCATCTTTCATTCTACTCTGGATGTTTTCTACAGCCTCTTCATAGTTTAGAGTTTGTGCACAAGACTTAGAGGTAACATCATGTCCCCCTGAGTCCCCTTGAAAAGAGAACAAAAATGAAGATTAAAACTACCCAATCTGAATTAAATAAAATTACAAGTTTAGTTTTACATTTTCTTGTACAAGGGGCTAACCCACCAAACATTTAATTTATCCAGTAATGGCATACATGTACAAAACTTTTGAGCATGGTTTCTTGTAAGTCCAGTACTTTGTCTGATTCCTGTGACAAGTAGAGCTGAGGCCAGGACTATCCCTGAATGGGACACTAGTCTATCACAGGTTTATACTTGCCAGCAACTTGCCAGGTTGACCCAACAATCTATGACAATATGCTGGGACACATTATATTAATGATAAACAAATTTTAGGTAATGTATGGAGAGAAGTGCATAGAGAGAAGCATTATGAGAGTGAACTATCTTGTCAAAGTACATTATACAGTGACCACAGCAAGTCCTGAAGTCAGGCTGTTAGATCTCCAACACATTGACAATTAAGGCCACCCCGCTGTGCAAATATATACATCTACGTAGAAATGCATGGACACCAGAAATGATATGAGGCTGCTATTTTTTGAAGATGAAGCATCCAAATTACCCAGACCTACTGCTTGCTTTTAAATGCAAGTTAAATGGTATATACCATAACTTGTATGCAGAGGGGCTGCATGGCAGCTTTTGTGTAGGGTGGTCTGGGGACATCCTTCTCCCTACCTCCCCCACAAAAAAAACACAAAATTATATTAATTTTCAAAACCTAATCATCTCCTAACACCATTTAAGAACTATGAAACACTCTGAGACACAATTTTATCCCAATTTGAAAAAAAANTGTGTTTTCTTTACTTTGTCACTGTATTTTCTAAAAAAGCTGTGGAAACAGAAAAAGCTGTGGAAACACTTGCCTGTCGGTTTGTGTTCCCACAACATTTCTTTTTCTTCCAAACTTCCACTTGTGTTTCTATTTAACAATTAGAACATGAACTCAAGATTTCTATCACATGATAGTTAACAAGGGCGTAGCCCGAGTCAACTATCATGCATAGAAATCGAGAGCGAATAATCTAATTGTTTCAGTATAAATCTACCAGTCGTTCAAAACTTTAGCTACATGTAAATCCCCCTCACAGACACCTCAAAAACGCAAAGAAGAGGCTGTCATTTTGTAAACAAGCGCACACTGCTACGCTACTCACTATCTACAACAGAATAGATATTGAGTGGCATAGCCAATCAGAGAATGGCATGCCTGATAGAATGCTAGTAGATTTATCCTAACACTTGACAGAAACACGGCACATGTTTTTGCTTTCTTAAATAGCTCCTTTCAACTAATTTCTTGTTACTTGAATTGAACCAGTTCCAAAACATGACTGCTGCTAGTGAAATAATTTGCAGTCTGTACAGTGTAAGTTAGGAATTATAAGTGCATTGAACTTCTCTACAACAGCCACCCTAGAGCAAAGTTAACTGGCTGTTATTAAGAGACTGCTGTTGTAAAAATGATTCAATAGAGTTAAGTGCCTGGTTGTTCCAGCTAGGTAAGTGGTCGTTATAGAGAGATGGTTCAAATGAATAAACATATATTTACTCAAATCAAAAAGTACATAGCAACAAACTGTGCCTCACGTTTTGCACATAATACAGTTTAATCAATTCAAAGTTAACCACTGGTTGTAATTTTTAATCACCTGTATAAGTTCACTTTCTTTACTAGCAAGCTCAGTTGCCAGTCTCTCATTATCATCATTCAGAGCTGTGACTTCATGCTGAAGTCGAACGTAACGCTTCTCAAGAGTTGCTATTCTATCTTCCATGTCGGATTTCTGGGCTGCTGCCTGTTAACAAGTTAATACATAAAACCAATTCAATAAGACGAGGCTAAAATACAGCACCTTGTTAAGAAAAAAATGTTGGTAGACACAAACATATATATCATCTGTGGTTCCTGTCAGTCTTCTTTCATGGATGACAACTATATCCATTATCTATATTGAACATGTTTGACAACCTTTTTTAATTTGATGTTTTGAGTTGCAGGCTTTTTACAACAAAATGAAGGTGTGTTGACCATGTACAGTTCACGTACTTTTGGCCACAAATTTGAAATCTGCTCATACAGTAGTTTTAATTACTTCAGATCAAAAATAGATCAAGACAACTAATGTACCTCATCTAAATCTCTTTCCAGTCTCTGAATGGAGGTATTTCCTCTGTCTAGCTGTTTGTTACATATTCTCAACTCTTCTTCTAGTGCAGTACATCTCTCTTTCAAATCCTTATTTTCTCTTGTAAGCTGAAAAAAAAAGACATTGAGAAGAGTTTGTCTAACAAAACAAAGACCAATCAGCTTGATTTTTCACTGACTGAGGAAAATTATCAATGAGAAAAGGATTTTTCTAACACATTGCTACAGCTGAGCCTAGAGTTATGTGTTGTATGTCATTATAAGTCAGTTTTTTGTCAAGAATATCCATTATCGATCTTCCCTCCAACGTGATGAACTGCACCACTGCATCCTGTCAGAAGCCCTGCCTGTTATCTTAAATGATAGCCATACAATTAAATGTACATTATTTTAGCCATTATGCTTTGCAGTAATAAAATTGTCCTTACCCGTTCCACCTCCTTGGTTCGTTTATCCAAAAGAAACTGCATCTCTTCCATTTGTTCTTCATGTGCACTCACATCAACATTAACTGGTCCGTTCGAAAGATGCTGCTGAAGTGATGATTAGGTTACAAAGAACTGTTAGTTTTTCAAGGCTGGGTTAGTAGTCCATATGATGACGCGATAATGCAAATAGAATGTAATGCTGACAATATGAAAGACTATGCCAAGCTGTCAGGTTTCAAAACCCGATGTCCTGGGCAGCATTCTACATAATAGAGCTCAACAATGCGCGTGCTGGGGTTGCCAATACGACTGAATTTTTTTCACTAGCGACTAACTTTCCACGCTTTTCACTGAAATACTTTTGCTGATGTTTAAATCTGAAAACTTAGGGGCCAGCTGGCCCCAAGGTTTTTTCCTGAAAGTTGAGCCCTGCATAAACTGCTTCTTGTACAAAGTGATGCCTACACACAGAGCCAACAATATTGTTCAATCTGGCTCTGACTCTAAATTTCAAAATTTGGAATTTATCAAACAGGGTGTGTTTCAGCAAGAAAATTATCAATGTGCCAGTAAATAAACTTATTTTGTCTGTGTGTGCATACAGAACCACTACCAAGTCTAGCCATGAAAAAAAGTTGTAACCGTGCACTATGCTTTGATAACCAACCTTTTCAGCATTAGAATTTTCATCACCATTTTCCTGGCAGTTCTCACTTGATGCATGAAGCTTTTCCTCAGTTCTTACTCTTCTAAGATTTCGAAGTCTAATATCCTCATTTTCTTGTTCAAGCTCTTTGAGCTGTAAAAATATAAAAAGAATAGAGATCAAGGAATGAAAAAAAAAAAAAATCAGCATCTCTAAACTGTATAAATGCACAATGTACGGCAACAAAGCTCTACCTTTTCCCGTGTTTCTTCAAGTTCTGCTTCAAGGGCATTATTTTTGTCTACAGCCTGCCGAAGTCTTTCACGCACCTATGGAAAATAGAAAATTACAATGGTAAAGTCTCCTCCAAACCTAAGGATTGGAGAGGCCAGAAAGCTCATTGTACAGGTCATCAACTTCAGAACTGAAGGGACTAAGAGCACGGGATGGAAGACCCCAAACAAAGCCCCCTCCCCCCTCCCCCCTCCCAGGCTGCATTATCCCCTGACAAACCAAATGGAGAGAGGAAGAGAGTGTTAAGTGTCTTACGTAGGTTGACAACACAATGAACCCAATTAATGCTTGAACCAGACTACTTGATCCCGAGTCAAACACACAAATCCCTGGACTGTGGTGTCCCCCACGCCCAATTTATAACATGTTTTGCTGAATAATAGGTCATGCCTACCTTTTCATCCAGAGCTTTGTGATGCTCAAACAGGGATTTGAGAGCCTTGAGAACTTCCACTTCAGATGACACACCTCCAGTGGTGGCAGCTTGTCGTTTGACAACTGTCATTCTCAAGGATCTTTCGTGTCGTGCTACTAAACATTCTAAATGTTCTAGAAGAAGCTGCAGGAAAAAGAAATAAATTTTGTAAACAATGACAGCTTTATTCTATAAGCATTAAGCTATACAGCCCATTTTTCATACAAGCTTAAGTGCTGGGCACCCAAGATTTCATGGTTAGGAAACTTTGGGCTCCACATAATTTTTTTTAGACTACAGCCTTGCCATTAAACCATTGCAATACTTTGGAGTTTTACATTCACCATTCCAGAGGCCATGATTCTTTAGGTCTATACATGGTACCAAGAATTCTGACCTTTGCCTGGCCTAATTTTCTGAGCATGTGCAAAGTATTTGTTTCATACTCTCAGCCAATCAGAGTTGTCAGATTTCACAGGAACTCCAGACGTTCATTGTTGGACCTGCCCAGAAGGCACTATTCTTAGTACGGCCAGCAGCAGGCAAAATTCGCCAGCTACTTCCCAGGATTTCGCTACCTACTTTGATTGAGAACTTGCATCAAATGAGACAAATGGCATGAAACATTTTTCTACAAAACATGATGCTTGGATTGGCCAACATTTATTCATAAAACACAAAAGAAAGTTGCCTGAATTCCGAGTAATTAGCGGTGGTGACTTGCATTTGTTTTTTCTTTCGTTCAAAAACAGTTTGTGATGAGCTGCCTGGCCTTTACGCACAACCTTGGGATCTGGGTGTGAAACCTGCACAACGCATGCCCAATACAAATATCCACATGCTCTGAAAATCACTCATGCTTGACAAGATTGCATCCACTTCCCAGAGTTTGAGTTTTGCCAAAATATGAATAAATTACACATCGGATGTCTGCCATAAAGAGGCAAACAACTCTGTTGGAGGTTTTTCAACCCCCACAAAAGTGACAGCATAAAGAGACAGGTATGTCCAGAGTTTTTTAGTCAGCTAATCTTAAAAAAAATTTGTTTCATTTATTCGTCACATTGGTCAGTTAATCCAGATCGTTTTAATATTTATTTGTCGTTTTGGACAGCAAAAAACAAAATGATATTTTATTTATCCATTGCTATGTTCTCTGGTTTCTGTGTCCACAAATGGGGCCATAAATTGAAGTCCACCCAGGGTATAAAGAAACTAATCTTTCATTTTATTGGACTTAATTGATTCGTATGGTTAGGACAATTTTAGCACAGAGGGCCACTAGTTTATCAGTTTATACTGTCACATGTCACCCTCTCTAAATAAAGTTGATTGATTGATTGATTGATTGATTGATTGATTGATTGATTGATTGATTGAGAAGCCTCAATGACAGACACTACTGAAGCTGCTGTTACATCTGAAGTGCTGCTGCATCAAGATCTACAGCTGCCACTTGTTCCGCTAATTTTGTCAAAGAACTTGAAACAAACTGGCTCAGGGTCATTCCACAGCCACCAAATCAACAAGAATTAACCCGGCTAGAAGAAGTGAAGAAGCTGCCTGAAATGCATTTTAAGAGGTCCAAATTTTAAGAATCTCCCAGGTGGGGGACACTCCCATACACCCCCACCCCAAGGTCATGCCTTTGACTTGAGTTGTACCTTCACCACCTAGTCCTGGAGTATTGCCGCCTACTCCAGTTCTTATTGAAAACCCTGTTAACCAAAAGGATTGTGCACTCTGGGGACAAACATAGCTGCTTGCAAAGCAAATTTTTAGGGGATTATAGTTTTGTGATAATTCAATTAAAGAAAAACCAGAAAACAAAATCAATGTAACTATACAATGTACCTGTACCTTAGGCAAGGCAGTAATTAGCATTCTAAGGGAGGGGGGAGAAAATACAGTGTGGTAAAGAGGGAAAAAAAAGATATTTCATAGCAATTGTGCCCCCGATTACACAAACATTGGGAAACCTGTCTTATTTCTGCATGGGTGACACGATGTGCTTGGACTGGAAAAAACACTCAACTTGTTTAGACAGCAGTTGACTTACGGTTTTCATTCTATGTGGTATGATATTGGCTTTAATCTCATTTCTGATCACTCTATTCAGCCCACACACACACAAGAAAACAGGAAAATTAACAAAAAAAACAAAACACAAAAAAACAGTTGGCCAATATCCTGCCAGCTTGAACTTTGCTCATCTGTTTGTCTGCCAAACAGCACTAATTAACTGCTGCATATTTTTAATTGGCTTGTATTAGCTCAGGTCAGACTAGAAAGAACTTTGATTTAACATGGTGGTCACAGGTAATCATATGATTGGTTGAACAAGCTGATGCACTACAATGCAGTGTAGATAAGGAATATTCCACTTTAAAAGCTTTTTACTCACTCTGATTTTCAACTTCAAAACTTCACTTATGACAAACTGTTCAGTGTGTGCTATGAGGTCACGTGATCAGTTAAGACAAAAGACCTGTTGACTGTGTAAACAGTTGCCATCTTAAGCAAGAAATGGTCGTCTGTTGTAGGTTTGAGTGGAGATTATTTTTCTATCATTATCTGTTGATACCTGTCTGAAAATAAAGCATTTCTGCATGCATATTTAGAAGCAAAATTAATGACCTCCTATCCAGAATCTAATCTAAGGACATCTCTGAGCTGATACTATCCATCCACCAAAGATGAAGAAGGAAGTGTCAACATGGCAAAATATTAACTTGCTTTGCTCTTAATCACTCTGTTATTGAATAGAAAACTGTATCGCCTACCTAACCAATGAAATACTAATAAATTGAAAGCTACATGTATGTGGTCAGACCTTGATGCATAACCTTTTCTGGAATTGGCCCTGGTTGGCAGGCATTTGCTTTAATTATTCAGCACTTGGTACATTTTATTGTTTGCTCTGCCTGGACATTGCAGTTACTTTAGGACAGTCAGCTGAAATCTAATCTTGATTATCTCTCTCGCAATATACCTGTATCAATTAAACAACTCGAAATGATTTTCATCTGTTTATTTCAGAATTCCACCACAGACGTTACTGGAGACATCATAGCGTGTATGGATTTCATGTGACTAGGTTTTAGAGTAAATAGGAGAGGTCAAGTTTACTAGGCAGCCAGTTCAGTTCAATTGTTACTCTACCAGTATGCACATCAAGGAAAATACGCAGTAAAGCCTCGTAAATACATGTTATGTTGTTATACTTAGTACTGTGGAAACTTCCTCTTAACTCTTAAGGTCGGCACACACTAGGGTACATGTTGTGGGGATATGAAGTGGAGACAAGCCCCTTCATGCATACACATTGGATGCACGTTGCACGTACAGTACGCAAGCTGGTGCTCACAAAACAGTTCTATGTTGTAGCGGGGACAGTTTGCAAGACCAGTGCACATGATATGACATTGAAAACTGAGATCATTTTGTCTCTGCTACATGACACATGAATACAAACCAGCTGAATTCCATGCAACAATTTGTCCCTGCAACAGAACTCTGCTTTGCAAAAACAGGCATGTCACATGAGAAAACAGTCGCTGCCACATGTTACTGCTTCCACCATGTCCATCAGACATGTCTCCTAGTGTACTGACCTTTATGGTATTAAGGTATCAACTGTACTTACTCTTGTATTACACCTCTCTGACTTCAGTTCACTGATTTCCTCATCTTTTTCTAGGAGCTGTTCCCTTGCTTGGTTTAGTTCTTTAAGCATCGTTGCAAAGTCCTATATAAAGACAAGATGTCAGTTAAGCAAGTTCTCAGGAACTTGTAAACATTTGTACACTATGATAGAAATAACAATCATTAACCGTTTCAGATGAGCTACCTTGTATAGATCTACAAAGCCACAGAGCCAAATAGATCTGAATAGATCTACCAAATCACACATGGCTACAGAAACCTTATAATCAACATCCAGACTGTCATTTTGTTAACATCAAAAACTCACTAAGTTGACATGGTGTTCTTACATCGGGTGGGGTATGGAAAAATTTACTGTGTATACATATATCACAACTCGAAACCTGGAACACTTGTGGATCATGCATCAAAGAAGATACAAGCCACTTTACAAGAAGCCGGGAAATAGAGAAAACTGTGCTAGCTGCTGCTATAGAGACAATAATTTTTATATCATAAGAAACCCATGTAAACAGTTCACATTTATGTTCATGTGCACAGGTGCTGCTTAATTATCATCCACATCGCCAGCAACAGTAAACCTCATATTTTTTTTAAACCATATTTTTAACCTCTAAATCATAAAATTCCCTAATTTAATTTCAGAAGAATGCTGATGAAAGCCATGACACTTTATTGTAATAACTTAAGAAGTTTTTTTTTTTTTATCTCATCATCAAGCTAAATGAAAAGGTATGCCATGAAAGAAGAATGATAAATTTTTAGTGGAGGAAATATACATGTGTGTGCTTAATGATGAACATTTTTAGAGCTCTATTAAACTACATTAATTTTAATTCGTTAGATGAAACAGGTCACTTTATTTTGACAACACCATACAGAGCTGGAAATAATCTATATTATGTGGCAGGACATGTCTTTTCACATCTCTATTTTGGACGGACATATTACCAATTTGCTCAGACATGTATTAAGTAATCTGCATACAGAAGTAATCTGATGACTCAATCTGCAGGCATACATGAACAAATAACTATACTTTGCAATGCATTTTAGGGGGATTTTAAAGGCAGATGTTCATTTCACATTTTATACAAGTCTAGAAAGGCTATCAAATCAACACAAACCATAGATCCATGAAATTTGTGATTTTTTAAATCTTTCAAAGCAAACATGGTCTTTCAATAAGATCTTTATGACTAAAAGCTTACAGATTTTGGTGCTGCTAATAATGTCCAACCATCAAGTAAAATTAGTCACTATAATAGACAATGTCTCACTAATTTTCTTGGACAATTTCTGATAAAGGCTGTTATTTCCAGCACAGTTGTGAAATCTGTTTCCTGTTCTTGCATTTTTCACATGCTCAAGAACATGTTCGACAGTTATTAAGAAGCTTAAATGTTTATTTGACAAGATTAAACCACTTACACTGTAATGATGTTTACATTTAGTTTAGCATTTTGGCCAGTAATTGAACCACACATATTCAATTTTTAATGCACAGCAAACCCAAGGCAGTTAAATTGTAAATAAATTATCTGGCTGATATTGAGCTTTTGATTTCAACTGCAACCCGTGACGGTTGACTTCAATCTTTTTTACTACCGGCAGGAAATTGACAGTATAATGTTTTAAGGCATTATAATTAGCAAACATAATAATTATTTAACCATTATGCCTGATCTTGGTTATACTTTGCCTATTTTAAACTTAATTGGAAAATGATAAAAAATGGTAAGGATTCCTTAGATGTTCAAGCTCAGCACTTAACAGGCTTGCCATTATTACAAAAAGCTTCATTTAATGAACATGACTATGATTAAATGCCAATTAAGTGATCTAAATTATATTGATATAAATAACGGAGGTTCAACTAAAAAAAAAAAAACAGCAAAAAAAAAAACTGATACTCATTTCTTCAGCACAATAAAAAAAATACAGTTAACAGTTTTTAAAATGCCAAAATAATTTTTGTCAAAATTTCTAGCCTTTTATAATATTAATTAAATTAAACATAGTTGTAACCACAATTATGCATATTGATCAAAACAATTATATTTTTAGCCCTGGATTTGCAGAAATTATTAATAACCACAATCCGTGAAGATGGACAAAAGATTAGCTTGCAATTCTCAAATGTGGAATCACACTTCGTTTGCACATTGTATTGTAACATGTAAGTACTTTTAACACCTCTGTAGACCACAAGTCGTGCTGGCAAAGAAATGTTTGATTAGAAATGTCGAATGCAATCACATACCGTGACGTGTTGGGATGTATTTACATATAAACAGAAACCATGTTTGCCCTTTCATCCCGGGACATGTATTAAATTGCTATTTGTCCAAGGCCGCTGCCAAGCAAAATGGAATTCCCTAATAACTCGTTATCATCACGTTATCAAAGGCCTTGGAACATTATGCCGCCGCTGAGTTTTGGATTACATATTACGGTAGCTAACGACAGCTTTTGATGTCGGAAAACATTTTGCGCACTGTACAACATGCACAAACTCAACAATCACCGATCATAAATTTATTCTCATGCAAATTAAACTAAAGAGTTGGGTAAACACGATACTGTCTGTACAAAAGGTTGTACTCGGTCGCGAGACATTTACGCCAAAGAATAATAGTTGTATACAAGTAAGTTTCTTCATGTCGTGATGCGAGGCATGGCGAAAAAAATTTATCCCAAATGCTTTCAAGTGCTTTGATTAAAATGGACCTGTTTGAAGAGGTGAGGGTCTTTTCAATAAAGTCTTCGTTAGCCAAGTGTCAAAAAGCAAATAATACCAGCTTTAAGTAAAAAACCGATTAAATTCCACGGCAAATTAGGACTGATCGAATTGAATAGGTCATGATCACTGCTATTAAAAAGCACCCATCCAAAACCTCTATACACGAACGAAATACCACATAGTGAATTCACCGGAAATACACACAAGGTTCTTTAGAAAGCTTTGCAGAAAAGGAGAGGTTCAAGTATTACAGCAACACTCTCAATCAAGCTGGGACCAGTGTTATCGAACCAAACAGGACCACAATTTCGTTAGAATTTATAACGACGATGCACCACGAGGTGATAACATGCAAAGTTATGACACGATTCACCGACCGAAAAAATAAACATACAGAGTATTCTTTTCGATCAGTTTAGCTTGGTGAAGGTACGACACTCGATCTGTCTTTTGCTGCAAGTTGATGAAAAGCGTCAGGCATGCAAAGAGAGATTCATTCATGCAAAACAAACAAGCCAAAGAGAATCTCGTCATTTTCCAAGTCAAATAGGCACGAAATAAAAATGCAATATTCGGAACATCAAACTTGTCTAATATTCGACTCGTATAATTATGGTGAACTTCGTAAGTTATGCCTAAAAGCTGGAAACAACTGTCTCAGAAGGCAAAACATAAGCTTATGATTTCAATAATTCTGTGTAAAATTCTTAAATTAAAGATCACGGCCTGCACAATGGATTCCCACAAGCATTGTTTACAAACACCTAGAACCAAAAGCAAAACTCTTTCTCATAAATACATTCTGTGGAGCAAATTATTCCAAAGAAAACCAAGGAATTGCTAATTAGAATAATTCCTTCGCATTTGGGTGATGCGATTAAAGCGATTCGTCGAGTGAATAACTGAAGAACTACAAGCTTACCTCTGCTAAAACCCGAACACGGTTCTTGCCAGATTCTTCTTTTAAATTATTGCCAGACTCTGTAATAATACCATCCAATCCAGCTAGTCTTTCAATTAGTTGGTCATCACCCTGGAAATAAAAAGAAATTCCACCGGAGAAAATCATAAATCTCTATGCACATGTGTGAGATTCGAGAAGACTGTCCCAAAGAAGCGATTTGCAAGGAAAACATGAACGCATCAAATACATAAATATGCATGATCTTTGGCGAAAAATAACATAAACTCATCGACAAATTAGAAGTTCCCGACCCGCAAACTCGTGTTATCATCTGTAAGGTTGAACCTAGTACTTCAGTATATAAAGTAGCAGGAATTTTTGATCGCTGAGTTGAGGAATGCAGCTCGTCGGACCAACAGTACAATCTAGAGATTCTTCACGCACTCTGGAATTTTGTACACCTTCGACCTAACTTCGATTTGAATAACGCTGTCCCTAAAAGAAAAGGTTTCTTGTGAAAATGCTGCAAATATACTCGTACTTGTACAGTGCTAGCCGTATGCTCTGAGTAAGTAAACACTCGCTCCGTGAAATGACACTCAATTACAGATCAAATATGGCGTATTTGAGTAAGCCAAAGAATGAATGGTCAAACCTCAGACCATGGAAAAATAGAGATTAAAACACAAGCTAAACTGCTCCTTACATCATTAAGCACAGACTCCAAGTGATTCATGAGACCGTCCTTCTCCTTTTGACATTCTGTTAACTTTGCTCTTGTAAGGGCTAGCGAATCTTGAGTCTCACGAAGAGTTTCCATCAGCTTGTCCCGTTCATCCAACATGTTCACCATCAGTTGTTCGAAGTTCGTTTCCTCATTTTGGCCATAATGGATCTCTGGCGGGTCCTCAGAGATCGTAGGCATAATATCGCACATCATTTTGGCGATAGAACGAAACGCCGAAGCCCAGAGAAAACCAGATCAAGCGGATGAGCGATTTGACGTACGATTACATGGCCGCGAGGGGTGACCGGCGAACACTTCCTCTAGCGTGAAAACGGCCGATGGAATCTATTTTCCGCGCATTCTTCCACCATCTTGCGGGATACCGACACTTTCTCACTTATCCTCAGCTCTATCTTTATCTATGCAGTAGCTAGAAAGACAATAAAACACGTTTGTGGAGGTAATTCGCTTGACAATCGCAAAAGAACAGGATATACACAGCTCAGAGAGCAAAACTTGCAACCTATATCCCAGGAGGCCGTGCGCGCTTGGCGGCTCAGCCACCTGTCAGAACCTCACAACAGAGGAAGAACTGCTTTTTCGTGGGCCGTAAAAAAAAAAACCTGCCCACACAACATCCATTTATTGAACGCCACACATTTCTAAAACTGCTCAAAGACTTCATGTGCGTGGTTTCAAGGTCCTTGATAAACAATACATGGGCTTTCAATTCGTGAGGTTTCCCGACAATAGAGCGGGGAACGATTAAATTTTTGACACTCGGTTGAAATGAGTTACGTTATGTTTACAGTGTAAATGGGTATATTGTCCTCGCGGAATTGTTATAACGATATTGTTTTAGAAAAATAAAATCCCCAAATAATATCTTAACTTTAAACGACCCACCTCAGAAACAGATGAACTTGTCACAGGGCGACAAAAAAAAGCAAAATATATTTTTTTTTATTATTCCTGTGACGTTTCTAACTCGAAGGACTCCCTGTCACGAATTTATAAAATTGTCAAGTTATTTCTTTCGTGTTTACGTTGAAAAAATCAGGAGAACTAATCAATTTCAATGCATTCCTTAAATATCAAAGCCATTCAAACATCCTGTGATGGGTTTTCCAGACGTATAATTTCGCAATTAAGATGCGATAAATTGAAGAAAGTGGGCTCCCATCGCTAAGGCCAACCAAAATATCCCCTCATTGGACCGTGCTATCTAGACTTAGCAAAAATCAGATGGTTGGGGACGCTAGACGGTTGTCTAGCAAATACTAGATGTAAATCAACACTTAATTCATTATTACATTTCTTAGGCACGCACAGCCTTGGTTTTAGTTTACATTGAAGGCCACATGAAGAGCATTTATGAATCGCTCTCCAATTTAGTCAGTATACGTGACTGATTCACGCTAGATGTGGTTTTCGGCGGTTACTGTCGAAGGAGACGCGAACAAAAGCGAGGACAGTATGATTTCCGATATAGCGCTTATCACGTTGACCTTGTTAGATGAAGAATCTTGAGTTATCAATGTCAAGTAAGTTAATGGAGCAACTTTAAAACAACTTACTAACCTTGAAGAAGAAATAGATACACCGAAGGACTGTAGACAAAATAACGATAAAATCGAGACAAGAATGAGACATTCTGACCTATTCGCTAGCCCCCCTCCTAATTTTACCCTTTCTCGCATCTTGATATATCCAAATAAGAAAATCAATTATGGCAAGTGGCTTTTGAATTATAAAATATAAATGTGCTTAACCGGATCCTAAGAATTAACTGCCAGCAGCTTTGAGATTTCACCATTGTTTTTATTCCTCAGTGAATCCCGGACGAATTTTGATCTTTTAACATAACCTAATGTACCAACGGTACCAAACAAATGGCATATTTACGTTATTTCAGCTGTCATGGGTACTAATTCTTTCAATATGGGTGGGTGACTTTAATATTTGTGTTGACCTTTATGAAATTAACGGTGTGTCACAGAAAGACCTTTTTTAAAATCCCTTCCCAGCTCGACTATTACCATATGGCCATTTTGTATATGGTTATTCTCTTAAACGAGCGAATATAGGCTGTATATAAACTAAAAAATATTGTGTCGATATCGAAAATTACTTTTAAATGTGACTAGCACAAGTAATGGTCTACTTTACAAATTAGTTGAATACAAGGTAATATAATGCCTTCGGAACAATAACAAAATGCCGAATAATTTAGTCGTCTCATATTTAATTATTTTCGGGCTCGTATTAAAACTTGTCAAAATGTCCCCATTTCCAAGCGTATAAGTTCGGGTTTTCAAATAATTTCAACAACAAAAAAAATAGCTGTTTCCTAAAACAATTTCCCAACCGACAATAATATTTGCAGTGAACGACGTTTTGAAGTGGAACCACAAAAATGAAATTCACAAAAAACGTCAAACCTAATATCCTTGGCTAATGGTTTTCGCGGGTCGTCCGGGATAGAAATTCGGACTCGTTTGTCAGGTCGACCAATTTACTTTAAATTCAGACCACAAAAGATCAAGATTAACTAGAATTACTGCAAAACCAAAATAAAGTGGCGGAAAGACTTAGCAAACCATACACTTCAAAAGGTGGGCGAGAGAGGTATGAGATCACAATTAATATAGGCGTGGTCGACATCATGGCGGAATGACAAGTTTTAAGATGGCTTTCAAACTCAATTAGTGCAAAATAGCAAAAACAGATCAGCGTACAGTTCTGTCGTACATCAGACGATTTCCACGCTGTTCTGTTTTAATTCGAAGGGATCATTTTCGCGTTATTTTGGGATGATTAATTAGCGGTCTATGTATCGGAAATCAGTTTGCCTTTGTGGCATTGCGCGGCAAAAGCCTGTCTTTCGCATCCCTGTAATGTGGATAGCAACACTGCTAATCACACTCGGATGTAAGTGGGCCATTTGGACTCTTGACTTAAACCCCTCCTCTTTTTTTTTTTCTTTCGCCGTATTCGTAGACTCCCCCTGATTACAGAGCACTGGATAGTGAAGATAAAACGATATTTTAAGTCGGAACATAATTGCTTAAAATCCATCTGATAAGAAGCTGGTCCGTTAGTTCTGTTTACCTTAGATGGCTGAGAAGCTGAACTTTGAGGACGTCTGTGTTACAAATCCAGCTTAGTGGTCAGATCGCGATCGGAGGAACTGAAAACGCCCGGATTAATTTTGATTCCAGATTGCCCTCGTAAGCGCAAGTGTTAAATCGGCTCCGACTGTCTGTTTATCATCGTAAAGTTGTCAACGGAGATTATTCAACGGACAGTCTAGTCTTATTTTACAGACAGTTGTTTTTTTTTAATAGGTTCAGCTTTTAGGCGTTTTTGCGAAAAACAAAGAAAACGGTCAGCTTGGCACAATGGCGAGGGTGCTACGCCCCCAGTTCAATTTTCCCTCGCCACCATTAACTGGATTTCTGTTTTCTAACGTCACAAACCAAGCTTTGTTAATAGATAACTAGCAGCCAGCTTTCTGTTGCTTTGGAACTCCAAGCTTGTTACGTTTGTTTGACAAAGGCCCCAAAAGCTTACGCAAAAACCATGTCACGAGACAACGCTGTCTTGCGTATACCTTTGTATTAAAATCTTCTGCTGAATAAACTATCAACTTTCTTTTTTTTGTTGTTACTATCAGGCTTTTTATCTGTTTAGCTGACAGGGGCACTAAGACGAGTGCAATATTGTGCACTCGTCAAAGCTTGTATTCACAATGTCATCTGTCGGCTTTACTGCCTTTAGGCAACATTAAACTACTCTCCATAGTTAAGAGGGAATGGTTATGAAACCTGGCAAAGTTCTTTGTTGTATGTTTGTGTTGAATCTTTTGGGAGTCAACATTGCACAAAACCTGGGAAAATACAAAATGTGGTTACGTGTGCTCATACAACTAACCAAAAGAAGCATTGCCATTACGTAATTGATTCCTTAGTCAATGAGCATAAAACAAAAGATGTGCAGGGTCAAGGACCTTCCAACATAAATCTTAGCCTGTTTGTTTACTTCTTTGATGTTTACCTGGCTTCTTAGCCATTCCCTCTATTAACAATGTTCTCTCGCATTGGAAGCTGGAAGTGAAAATTCACGAATCCTGTTTGTTGCACGATTGTCTGAACCATCTTTTTTTTACACCTGGAATGTTGAAAGCCTATGTCATGCATAGGTCACGTCGCGCATCCCTTTACCTCCTTCGAAGAAAGGCAAGAACATGACTGCTCTAAAGTTCAATCTCAAATTTTAATTACCACTTCTGTACTGACAATATAAAGCACTTAGAAGAGTATTTTAATGCACATTTATTTACACTGATACCGCACACGGAAACATACATATTTACATGTACGATGTTGCGACGTGCAGAAATCTGACACTGAAGTTATCCACGTCCATAAGTTAAAAAAACTTCCTCATTCTGCAGTCAGTTTTAAATAACCAATCACCTCTCGACGAGTGATTGTGCTCACACTACATCACGTGCAAACTCAAACTCGGATTGCCGCTGACTCCTAGAAATAAAGTCGCACACATCTCTCTTTAAGTCAGTCCTGTAAAGGTCTGAGTTTCCGTTTCTGAAGGGCAGCGGCTGCTGTTCCAGGTCTTTGTCCCAATAACACTGGGTCAGGAAGTTTACGGGAGGGTCTGGTGCCATCTTTTGTGGAAGTCTCCCTGCAAACAAACAGAAGTATCTGAGACAGGACAAGCGTTTTGATTGGCTAATTCTACAGTCTGTTCTCCCCCAGGCTTAACCCGTTTTTCCTCTCTTTTGAGCGAGAGATGCAACATATGTACTCTCGTTTTCTTGATCGGTTCTGTAAAAATTTTCCGTCGATTTACGGCGAAACATTTTGCAGGAAAAAGCTCGTTCACTGTCATCATGATCAGGTTGCGGATTAAAAGGTGATCAGCAAAAGTTGACAGCAAATGTTAACAGTAAACCTCACCTGAAAATTTATAAGACTGAACTGATCAAAATTTACCCTAATCTTGAACTGGCTTAACCACGCCTCGAGCAATCTGTCCAGACCTCGAACTCGATTATAAAACGAATATATTGCTTCAGTAATTTGTTAAATAACTTTCTTTCTTGTAGCATTATAATTACTGTTTCTTAAGAAGACTAAGAATAATAATCATATTTCGTCACACATTTGTGGAGTTGCGAGGTGCTATAAACAGCACTTTGTTTAACTCGTTTCATTTTCCTCCAATGTAATGTTTGAAGGCCATTTAACTTTTAGATTGAAATCCTTTATGGTCCATAAAAGTTACCTACCCATGTATCATGTTATTGACTACAAAATTTCCTGTCATTGATCTAAAAAAAAAGGATACCTCAACTTTTCATAAATTTATAAATGCAGTACTCAGATACCGATTTTAAATATGTTAAGGTTAGTCGATCAAGTTTTCCAAAACTGAACTGAGTGTTAGCTAATTCATGTTCTCTTATACCTCGTCCGCCGGTTGATTCGTACAGGTGCAGACGAAGAGCGTGGTTCTGAGTCTTCTTCGATCACTAAAGGCGGAGAGCGTCTGGTGTCCAAAGAAGGAGTCGATGTATTCTTGTCCACTTCGAAACTCTCGTCTCCGTGAAGGGTTCGGAGTCTTAATTGATTCACACTTGTCTCACCGGAAAGCTGCCGGTATCTAAGAGGCAGATGTAACGGATTAGCGGCGTCTTGTTCATGTCACCGAAAAAGTCGAAGAGAGGGTCCGCCCTCAGCCTAATCCCCAGGCTGAGGGCGGGAGATAACTGACATTTCAGGCTAGAAGGGAGTGACACCCTCAAAGGGTATGGATTTTGAATCGTTTCAGTTTGGGAAAGGGATATATGTGGACTTTTCTTTTTAGTGTAAAAAAAATTACAATTTTCCCTAAAAACCAAAAATTTGGTGCCATTCCCAGGGGACTACGACATGCCTTACTTCTCTCACTTGAAAAGATGGTACATCAATTTTCAAACGAAACTCAAAGAGAGGTAAACAAAAGCAAACATAAACCAGCCGTTAAATTGCTACACTTTACAACTATCCCCAATCCCTGTCTTCCCAACGACATGAATAACTGAACGGTATGATCTCCTGTCTGCGGAGCTAAACAAATACAAGAACAACAAAAAAGAAAAAACCGAACAAAAATTAGCGACTCAAACCTTCGCATCCTGAAGTCTGCAGCAGTATTGGGTCTGTTAATTTCCTTTCCCACGAGGGGAGGAGTAGGGAGAGAGCGGCGTACAGCAGAAGGGCTAACAGGGCGACGAGTGGCTTTCCTGGGAGGGGACGGAGAGTAGGTAGGTGTTGTGGGTGCTTCTTGTTCCGTGGTAGATGTAACCTCGCTGGAATTAACAAAAAATACTATTCTTAGTAAACTTAGTCTCTTGGAGCGTAGTTTCAACAGATTGCAGATGCCTCAATTTGCTCATAGCATGCCACCGCTCTTAGATTATTGAGGAACGAGTGAAATATTGTGGAACGAGTGAGCCCTGGCGAAACGGGCTCGCAAGTAGCCGTAAGTAGCCGCTAGTTGAACTTGCGTAGTGACTTGCGTTGGATGGTCAAACGGAATCGTAAGTACACTTAAGTCGCAATAAAACCCATTTCAAGGCCGGTATAGATATCCTGTATTTCATTGGCTAATAGATTGCTATAATAACGAGTGGACGTCACTCAACTTGCGTTGACCTGGGTTGGGTGGCCAAACGGTGAACAACTTGCGTCGACTTGCGTGCACATTTGATCTCGACCAAAGTGAGCGCCAGTCATCGCAAGTCAAACGGGGTCGCAAGTGGATCCAAGTTTTCAACTTGCGTCTGCTTGCGAGTTCGTTTGGCCAGGACTCAGTTACTGACTGCGAGTATGCAAGTAAGCCCCTCGATGGAGACACGCTATGAGAATTAACAGTCTTGCCCAAGAACGCAATGATCTGTCAATTCGACTTGTCGATCCAAGGCCAACAAAAAAACAACCGCGAAGCCATCGCCCCTCAGATCCCAGAAAGTTTCATTTTAAACACAAGTATGTCATCAGATTTTGACCTCAGTTACAAGTTTCTCATTCTTCTGGTTAGAGTGCGCGCAAATTAAGCGTTCTCCACGTGTAAAAGAACCGCAAGCATAAGTTAACTTCATGTCACGTCAACATACTGCCACTCACCCATGAGATACAATACATTTGTCCTCCCTGTTGGTGGCTAGTGTGATTTTTTCGTCGTTTAACATCCTAAAATATACAAGAAATTGAGAGTTTAACACTTCTGAAGCAAAAACGTTTCAATAAAGTACACAAATGCTATCTGCATTCCTTTCGGATTTGCGCTACTGATAAAAATAAAAATTTCAAGATAGGAGCTGTTGTGGTGCGTGCGGTCAGATTAGGGTGTGATTCGGTTGGATGGGTCACTTGATTGCTTAACAACAGAAAAAGGTACACTGGAAAGGGCGTCTTATTGTGTTCTGCTTCAGACACTGAACAACTGATTGAGCGCGTGGTGTTATAGACCGTTACTAAGGAACATGAAGTTTGCCGAGGGTGACAAGCTGACGTCATAATTTTGATTAGTAGAGTGGTTCGAGCTGCCGAATGAATAACAATCAGAATGAATATCACTTATCAATTATCATAATCGTTTCTGAATGAACTATAATCCGCGGAAACTCTACCGACAGCTACTTTCGCCTCGGAAACAAGAGAACGCAAGCCCGAGGGAAGTTTATGTATTTCCGTAGTACAAGTTGAAGTCATTACGGTATTTGATGATCCCTTTTAATCAATAAGGACCGAAACATGGAGGAATTTACGATGAGATACTTAGTTCAAAGAAGGAAACGATCTCTTTGTTGATCATGTCGTGGGGTTCGCAAAGCCTTCGACCATCTTAACACGGACAGTTGACTGGCATGAATTCCTAGTCACTAGTCTTATGGCAACTCACCTTTTTGCCACCCACACCTCCCCACCCCAAAACAATCGTGAACGTCGTTTCTTTTTTTCTGAGAGGGAGGGGAGGTTGGGTTCGAAACATTGACTGCTGACTGTAGAAACCAATCCCTTGTCGGTAGCCCAGGCTACCGCGGTTATGTTCGAATAGTTAACTTTCGCGGGTTGTATAAATTTGACAAAGGTTCGTTCCCGTTTGAACATGCAACGTTCGTTCATGCTGTTTCTCGCCATATCTTAATCGGCAGGTAAATATCGCTTTTAATCGTGTCTGTCTTGTATTTCCAATGTTGTATGTCGCCATTTCCGGCCTTCATGTAACATATTTGTACTGTTTTGTTCTAGAAACCACTGGCACTGATATGCAGGTAACGGTTCACGTCGTCGATAAATATACTTCTTTACGTCAAACAATTACTGCCGGTTCGTTTGACACAGACTCTCCTTGGGTGGTATTTTGTTCGATGTCTGGAGGATTTTTGACGAGCATTGTCTAAAAACGCTGAGGCACGAAGAAATATATTTTCACCGACATAATTCTAGATCTACTTTGTTTGGTTGAAAACAGTGACACACTAATCTTGCTCCTGACCTGTTTATGCAGCTTTCACGATAAATGATGGGTGTACGAAGGGAGGGGATAGAGGGGACGGTTCCACATTGATATAGCTCTCTCGTGACCACCCTGGTTGTTTCGTTTTCGTGATTTATCTCGTGAAAGTCAGTGTGAAAAGGACAAGTGTTATCAAACAGTTGACGCTAGCTGAGCTCTATGCGCTGGCTTGACACGATCAGGCCAAACGTCTAAGTAAAACAAGAACAAGAAAAAAATATAAATAAAGACGACACCAGATGTTGTTAGATAGGTTTTTTATCACGACTCACTGAGATCACATTTGGAATATTTGGCACTGTTTTCCACTTCATGGGTGCTTTGTTCAACAAATAAAACTCTTGAACACATTCGCTAGTCTCGTACATCAAGATGTACCAAAATGAACTCGAAAAGAAGGAACGAAGCTAACTCATATTTGTTTACATTTCACCCGGAGGGGGTACGAATAGAATGATTTCCTCAGGGCGTTAACCTCTGTCTGCGAATGTTCATTTTTCGAAATTATCGTCTTTGTTAAAGATGTGTTACTTTAAATAAAAAAAATTATAAAAAAGAGAAATTATCGTCTACTAATAAAACAAACAATTAGATCGCGACTTTGCCAGAAGTTAATGGCCTGATTAGACTGGTTGGCTATTTCTGAAATTATTAAGGTCTCTGATTCCTGTCCTTGATCTGTCGATACAGTAGTTAGAGATGAAGTAATACGAGCCACATTTTCGTTGCAACTTGTCGTGCAACAGTGTTGCATAGCGCGTACGGGTTAACAAGCGTTTTAATATTGCTCGTATTACCACTGGTTTTGCAAGTTAACTTCACACAACACGTTACCCCAACTTGAGAAATTGAGGTAATACGTGCAACAGTGCTTTCCAACTTGCAATGCAATATTGTTGCACGACAAGTTGCAACGAAAATGTTTGAAGGAATTTGTTTGAGATGTTCGTAACCTCTACTGAAATTTCAAAGGCATTTTGAAATTGACCGAATACTGACCATGCTTAATAGTCACCTCATGGAAGCTGAACAAGACTAGTTGGTCCAACGTTCCTTTTATATCACTGCAATTGACCACTAAATCCTCTCTCAGTTTTCTATTATTTTTTCCTTAAATCAGTCAAATGAAGCTATCCATACTTTTATTTATTTAACTTCGCCTAACTAAAATACTAACTTATATACAACAAAATTCATTAGGGAGGGAGGCCACTACAACGTAGCCAATTACAATGGATCCCAGGGTACTGATAAGAATTAAACTTAAGCTACCCATATATAAACAAGAAGAATCAAAAGGAAACAAAACAAAACGTCAAATTACTAGAAACAGCACAACGGCGGGCACAGAAGAGACCTCGCTATGTTGCACCTGGGACAGATTATTCTACAGGTTCTTATGTCGTCAGTCGTACAGATCTAGAGCCCTACTGTAATTTTTACAGTAACTGTCTAATTTCTCGCGCGCTAATTAGCTCATTTTTATCATCAATAAGAGTACAGACGGATAAAATTTTAATTTATGCAAGCTTTTAAGTTCAACTTTCAGCTGTCAAACTGTCAACGTTTTAACCAATGAGATTTTATGGATTTTTTTAAGTAGCCAATCAAAGAGCGAGAAAAGCTATTGACAATGTTCGCGTCATTTTGAATAAAATTAACTTATCTTTGTTTACGGCAAGTTTACGCGTCTTTTCCCCTCATTTATTCCCGGCATTTGACCAGTTTGGGGTCTTGTTATTGTAAAAAACAAATTGAAGTAGTGAACGTTTAACTGAGGCTAGAGAGATGTGACTTGTGCGTAACTCAGTGAGCAGAACATTCCATGTGCGGCACGCGCGTATGAAAAATGAGCGTTGATAAGTAACAGTTCTAGTTCGCTTAGGAAAATAAATAATAGCATCCTGTGGATTTTCGGCTTACTCTCAAGTAGTGCTATTGGGATAATAGTTAGGGTTGCTGTAAAGATTAAAACATACCAAAACAGGATGACGGGGACGAGAGACAATATAGGCGTCATTCCTAAGGTAACCCCTCTCAAGTTGTTTTTAGATCAGAATAGGTTCCGAAATCCCAAGAGGGTCTAGAAACATTCAAATGCAACCGAAACTGAATAAAAACTGATAAATTAGAGAAGGCAAGAGAGTGTCACATTGTGAAGAATCACAAACGTTTCGGGCATACCACTTCTATAGAGTGACAACCGTTAAATCATGATAATTTTGAAGTTTTAAAAGTAAGTTCTTCTGATTTCCCTTAGGCCTAGAAAAAGTCGATCTGGAGACGCGAATTTTACTCAGGTGGACTTCACACGCATTTTCATCCCTCAAGAAAACATCCATGCAACGCGAGTGGTAACATCATCCGTTGGAAATCTGGCGGAGCGGGTGCCATATCTTAAGATTACCTCAGTTGAGAATACCACCTCGCTCCCGGACTCTCTCATCTTCCCGCCCTTTCGGAGCGAGAGAAGGGGGAGAAGATGAGAGAAGCTGGGAATAAGGTTGTTGAGAATAACTCCCATAAAGTGTGGGATTAACTCTCTAACTCTTCAACCTCCCTTGCAAAGGCGAAAGTTATAAAGTATTTTGTGTCAACCTTAGTGAACATGTAAAAGTGGGAAAGAGGAGAAATCAATTCAAAAGTCCTTGAATAAACAGTGGTTTAAAGGTGACGGAAAAGGTGAAGACTTACTTGGAATACTCGTCTCTCCAAGCTTTGAGTTCTTCAAGTATGTCATTTTTGCTCGCTGATGGCTCTGTGTCTTCCTCGAAACTCTTCTCAGGTGTGTAAAGCCGAGGACTCTCTAGAAAAGCTACCACGGGGATCCTGGGTGTTTTCATATCCTAAATCAAGTAAAATGCACTGTTAGAAGGTTACCAGTGGTACAGCTAGTGGCACCTTAATGCAGTCTGAAAAACGCTGTGTTTGAAAAAAACGCCACTGAAGGATTTGAAGTGTTTGTGCATAAGCACACACGAATACTCTGAAAATTGACAGGTTTAATTGCTCACTCTAACCCAATAGTCAAATGCAGCTTAGAGTGCACGTGAGTGCTCGAACTATTTTGACATTGACCAAGAATCGGAAATTTTTGGTAGGCTTCTACAAAGACTTGCCCCGAATGTAACTCTAAGGATAAAATTTTTCCTTCTCTGTGTAAAAGGTTTGAGCATTGCACGACCACCAAATAAGGACTGGCCAAGATACTATACGCAGTAGCGAGCAGACTTACGTTTGCCTTGTGCGTGTGAAGCAAACGTAGGTCTGCTCCAGGCTACATATTAGATGGTTCCATAGCATTTTTGTTGTGGGAGCCGAGAGATAAGTTAGTTTAACGCCAGAAATAGAGATGTTTCCTCAAAACCAAAAAATACGGAAAATGTTCCCCAAACGTATGGAATAGGAAGCTTATGAATCTAATTAAATACAGAAATTGCTGTACGAGACGAACACGAAAACGCCAACATCGCGCAAACCGTAAACTGTAATAAATAAACTGTAAACTGTTGTTCTCATTGTAATCCACATCCATCCTGGCCAGCGTTAGCTATCGTCACTTGTCATTTCTCGAGACAAGTGACTTGTCTACAAAATCGAGCCAATATAATTGGCTTTCGCCTTTGCAATTCCAGTTGCTTCTAAACCTCCTAAAATACAACAACATGAGTGATCATGTCAAATCTCGCTGATAAAGGACCCCACAAAATCATCAGGGAAAGGCAGAAAACTGAATTAGTGCCACGACTATGGTTAGTATTGACAAAGTCCTTTTTGTCGGGTGCAACAGACAGATGTTTACAGTGACTTTCACGGCAACAAGAGCTTGGTTATGGAATACATTTGTAAAGGCATTTTTCGATTTATTATTACCCAGTCAAAGAATAACATAAATTATGTTCTTGCAAGTACTGTAAATGTTGTTGTTCCGACATGGCACAAAAGTTGGCTTTCTAGCCTGTGTATAAATGTTCTCAGCACTAAAAATGGTGCCAAATCGCTTAGAACTTTCCTCGTTACTTATAAATGGAAATAAACCCGGCATAACAAAGCAGGAATTGCGTTACAATGCACACACCTTTCGTCTTGACTTTAGTGCTCGTGATATATTCCCGCAAATAACCTGACTGGAACCTGTCGGAAAGAAGAGTTAGAAATAGCAATTTACATTAGGGTAACTCAACGCATCTCTGTTGGTAAACATAAGCCTCTGTCGTCGCTAAGTTCAGAAGAAAAAAAAAGTCGGAAGAATTCTCTCAAGACACCTTCCTCTCAAAAAGCACTTAATTTATTCTCCAAACCTGCATTCTTGACATTCTACTGATATATCAAGGAGATGTTAGATGTAGATCAGAATCAGACGCACCGCTTACCGTGAGTGAGATCACTGCTATCATCCTGGTGAAAAACTCCAATTGCTTCTAAGCCTCCTAAAATACAACAACATGAGTGATTATGTCAAATCTCTCTGATAAAGGACCCCACAAAATCATCAGGGAAAGGCAGAAAACTGAATTAGTGCCACGACTATGGTTAGTATTGACAAAGTCCTTTTTGTCGGGTGCAACAGACAGATGTTTACAGTGACTTCCACGGCAACAAGAGCTTGGTTATGGAATACATTTGTAAAGGCATTTTTCGATTTACTATTACCCAGTCAAAGAATAACATAAATTATGTTCCTGCAAGCACTGTAAACGTTGTTGTTCCGACATGGCACAATCAGCTGCTTAACTTGATAATGTGCATTAAGAGACAATGCCTGGGCTCCTAGACTGGTGTTGCAGATCAGAATTCACTATACCGATGGGCACTGGCTCCCTTGATTGTAGGTGTATAGACTCTTAACAAGAGGGCTAGTAATAAGTAAAACAGATAAATGATACTGAAAAGACCAACAAATGTCAGTATGGGAGTCATCTATCTCACAAAATTAATGGAAAAATCCTTGACTCAAAAATCCTTCCAAATTGCCCCAACACAAACAAGTCTCCAGAAGTGCTAACAACAAGGTGACCACGAGGAAGGATTCTACTGCACACTACCACTCACCTCCCGCAGAGCCGGGCCGTGGCCCCATGGCACTGGCTGGTCTCTGCCGTGAGGCTGACATTGGACGTGGCCTTGTAGACATGGCACTTGAGGGCCTGTCTTGTCTTGATGTATCAGCAGCTGAACCTGGTCTTACCATATCAACTAAAATAGTAAAATAACAATAAAATTATAGTTGAAACCAGATGATGGTGATCAGAAGTCCCAAGATCAAAATCTCAGTTCTCCAAATTGATTTCATTCATTATTTATGATATCCCTTAGTATGATAACTTGGTGGTACATAAAGTTGACGTTTATTCTTTGCTCTTATTACTTGTTTTCTTGACTGTATATCAATTGACATTATGAGACATAAGGTCTCAGTCAATCGAGATCTGGAATCAAAGTGCTAATGAGGTTATGTAACTCGACCAATAAGGAATTATTGCAAGATAAATAGCTAAAATGACTGGTAGGACATGTCCACACACTGAGACTAAGAGATCCCAAAACCCAGTTTTGTTTCTGCCTTTCCACTTCCTCCACTGCCAATAAAGCATTTTCAATAATCATGACGGCAAATCCCTTGAAAAATAATGTCATTTTTTCTCTAAAGGCTTTTGATTGCCTTCTCTTTGTCATCATTACTTACTCTAAATCAATGTCAATGACTTCATATATTAAAACACATGCATTTTTTTGGCCTGATAGTTTCAAAACAAAACATTAATCAAACAACTGGCCACAGTAATGCACATCAAGACTTGAAAACAAAGATTATAATGACATACATGAACTTTCCTCCTCTTCATCAATGTTAATTGCCTTGATTCCTTCACTGACCAGCTGCCAGTCTGCCTTGAGATGCTCTGGAACCTTGTTAGGCCTGTGCGATGCTGGAGGCTGCCGCAACACAGGTTTCCCATCAACTTTTTCTACCAAGAAAGGCTCATCATCCAGTATTTTGACATTGGGAACAACTTTGTGAATTGCACTACGATAATCATAACTTCTTATTTCCTGGAAAATGGATTGCACTATTTTTTAAAAAGTGAACTGCTCTTCCAGAATTCTTGAGAGCCATTATGATAGGCTTGAACAATACTGATGCTAAAACCATCAAACTGTCCAAACATGTTTGATCTAACATAATCCAAGACTAAGGTAGGTAAAGTCTACATATAAGCCAATGGCCAATCAGGCTGGAGCTGTTTCCCTAGCATGAAGCCACTATGAGAACAGTGTATTTCTACTCCCCCTTTGGATGGGATGCTAGTCCATTGCAGGGTTACCTCCTGCATTAAATTAGCCTGTACCCATTTATACACCTGGATTGAGACAGGTAATTTAAGAGTAAAGTTTTTTACTCAAGAACACAACACAATGTCCCCATCCAGGGCTCAAACCTAGACTGCTGGCTCTGGAGTCGGGTGCACTAACCAGGAGGCCTCCTCAAAGACAATTGGATGAAACCATTGGAATGAACTGTTTGATCACCCTCTTGTGACATGCTGGACAAAAATTTGATTCATGCCACAATTTCTTCCCACGAATCTCCAGTTGGTCCCAGATCTTCCAACAACTGAAAAACTGTCTCATAGAACAGTCCAACAATTTGAAGCATGTTGCATTCACAACTTGTACTCTTACAGTGCACAACGAGGTCCAATAATGTTTGAAAATGTGTATGTAGATCTAAATATTGAGACTTTTTACCATGGCTTTACACACAGCTGGATAAATAGTTGCTGATTGCCACATACTTTTGAACTTACCTCCTGCGATGAGAGTGCATTTGGAGCGGTGCAGATTGGATTGCCTTCTAAAGTCAAGATCTTCAATGACGAACACAGGCACAAAAACTCCACCTGAGTGATGTCACTCACATTGTTGCTGATGATAAAATGATCAGTCATGTTTCCTCACGTGCAATGGGTAACATTAACCAATATTAACCTTAAATGTAGGCATTCATAGGCAGGCAACACAATTGGAACTGAACTTCTTTTTAAAAGAAAAACTTCCCTCTGGATGGTCAAATCATGCAGGCATGGTTGTCTGCATTGCTGGTCAATTTGCCTGGTACCTGGCCCTTAATGAAACCCCTGCTGTTAAGGCAACCTTTTTGGACGTCGAGATATTCACTCATTTAAAAAGGACTCAAATTGCTAGTCACTACTCACCCCTCTAAGTCAAGAATCTCCAGTTGGTCCAGCATGCTGACAGGGCTGACATCTTCTATGTGATTAAATGCCAAGTACAACTCCTATAACAGAATGTCAGTAATAATTATTGATTAGCTTACCTTGAGGAATATTATATTTTGCAGACCTGCTTGCCTGTTAAAACCTATTCTGGGTGACAAATGATAATATCTGAGACTCGCCAAGAGGGCAAGAGCCTTCAATGAAAATCTGAGACTGCAAATATACCAATGACATGTTGACTCAAGAGACAGAAGGAGTTGTGCAAGACTACTTATTGTAAAATAAGTGACTCCCTGCAAAGGATTCCGAGATTTCAAGATCAGATCAAAAGTTTGTAAGATCCACAATCTTCTAGTAAACTTGTACAATTTTTTAAGTATATGTATCATTCCCTAAATCAAACAAAAAATAAATAAAAATAATTAAAAATTTACTTAGAGGTTTGATGATTGATTAACCTTATGGAAAACAGTCATTTGAAGTCGTCATATTACTGAACATATCTTCAGTAGCTAAAGAACACTTCCATGATTCACTTAATTCACTGCAAGTACCTTTAAAGAGGACACTGAACTAATGCCATCTAAATCACTCAGTCCAGCTCTTGATAGCCAAAGGGTCTTTAGATTAGTCAAAGAGGTTCCAAGGTCTCTAAACAAACAAAACAAGACAGCACAATATCAACAAGTGGGTAAGTTTGTCGGTAAGTATTGGTCAGGTAAGTTGTTTCCACTGATACCTTTCAGTGTGACGGTACCAGTTTGTGGCCACTTCTTGGGGTGGTTCCTGCTTCCAGGGTTGCCATGGATACCTCCCTTCAGCTTATGGCTTTTTGCTCCCTGCTAACCCTTTAGGCACCAGTTCCCAAGCTCATCTATTTGTGATGAGTTTAATATTAATAAAATTACCATTACAATAATTGGTGGGTTTTGCTTATCGTTTGTACCTCTGGACTCACCTTACAGTAGCTATTATACTGTTAGACAATTTAAGCTCAGTCAAGTTAGGCAGCAGAGCACCTAAAGATAGCAAAAGGAAAATACTCAGTAAAAGAACAAACATACATGTAATTTTGGTGGCTTTGACAGATGCCATCAAGTGTGCATTTGCCTGTTTTTTCTTGTCTCGTCTTGACCTAAGCTTCAGCTAGGAATGGTTGATCAGGCTTTTCAGTGATTTTTTTGTCAAATCATTTATTTTCAACAACCAGGAGAAAGAAATAACTCTTTGTATTTCACCAAAAGTGAATTCTGTAGAGCTGTTTGAAGTGTGAATGCATTGGACACAACTCAAACATGATGTATCAATGAGAAGAGTTTTCAAAGCTTTCTGAAAATGTCCATAATTGAAGTTTCAGGTGATTCTACAGGAGCAAGTTTGCCTATTCTGATTGAAATTACATGTAAGAAATGTGTGACTTGACCTGAATAATTTTAACTGCCAAAGGGGTGTGTGGAAAAAAGCCCTAAGTGACTTTTGATCTCATGTCAAATTCTTGTATCAGATGTCACTTACAGTGTTGGGTCTTTTTACATCCACCCTGTCAATAATAATTATCGTAACTGAAGGTACTTTTATAAACAGAAGCCCTGAACATTACACATGCCAAAAAGCAAAACAAGTATTAAATTTGTTAATTACTATTAATCAACCATGCCTAACCAACAACAATTTCTTTAATCTAGCACTCCAATCTTATCAAAAAAATTTATTTGCAACAAACTGGAACTGAAACATTACCTTGTTTTCCATGGGGTGAGAGATCATTGTGAACTTGACATAACTAATGAGCATTACTGAACAACTTCTTTATACTAACCAAAATTTCCAAGACTATTTTCTCTTGTATCAACTTTCATTTCAAGGTATTCAACTTCATCAAGATTCTTAAAGCCAGTTAGGGATCTCTGCAATTACAAAAAAAACAAAACAAAACAAAAAAAACACACACACAAAAATGATAAATCTTTTGGTTATGACAAGTTAAGAGATGTTCGCATGGCTCTATTGTCATAAAGATATATATACAAATATCTTTACTTTACAATTTTCAAGCCTGTCAATCCAAGCCAGTTTCAATCCATTGTCTTTAAAATTGAGTGCAATAATGTAAATGCTTGTATGATCTTTTAGCTAAAAAGGGCTGCGCTGACTTTTCATTGGGTGTGTGTTTTGTAAATCAAAACTTGCCAAAACCTACCAGTTTTGATGGCGACAGGAATTCTTCCAATAACTGGTCTGCCTCTTCATCTTGTGCTATTGGTTCAGGGTTGGCAGTACTGTCATCAAACTCCCGTATCCTTACAGAAGAGAATTCTCTCGGGACCTGAGGCACATGCTCAATTTGTTCCAGGGTAAGTGTTGTGTCTTCCATACCTACACTAAAAACAAAACAAAACATTAACGGCTACTGGACTTGGTTTGTGTTGTCCTCTTATAGTGAAACTAATGATAAATAAATGTAATATGGTGAAACTTATTACATCTAAATTATATCATTACATCATCAGTGATGCTTATTTTATCAATATAATTATGATGCCATTCTTTGTAGCTTTGACTGTTAGTTACCAGGCTGTTTTTCTTGAGGGGTTTCTGGCCCCTTCCAGACAAAGAGAAAAATTTACAACCTTTTTTAAGACAAAAGTTCCAAAAAAAGGTGACCTGCTCCAGAAAATAAGCAAAAAATAGGTATTGTTAAACAAAAAAAACTCATTGGCCTGCTTGCACAAGAAGGGTGAATGTGTTGTTCCAGACAATATCTATACCCCTCCCACAGAGGGGTTTTTGATTTCAACCCCTCCATCCTTCTGGAAATTTCAGTTTTGGTTCATACTGATACATACACTGTACATGTAACTCTACACATTTTGGCTTTTGAGACCCCTCCCCTTCCCCTTGGAGTTTGCAAAAACCCTCCTAGGGTTTTCTGGAACTACACAATATCACAAAGAGTGCACTACCAACCGATGTCGCAAAGTCAAGTTGAAACCACAACAGAAAATTTAGTTTTGATTTCCATTACTGGTCTAAGGAAAGATGAAAATTCTATATCATTTCCCTAAAAGATAATGACCAGATTGATGTATCATGACTAAGTTTAAAAGCACAAGCATGCTCAGGTGTGATTTGACCTCTTCCTCTTTAATCATCTTTTGCCAATAAAATGCCATATAATAAACAAATTTTTTTTAACCTCAAGAAAATCTCAAATATTTTTGGTCTTTTTGTTTTGACCTTGCTATCACTTGGTCAATACAACAAGATCTCAGTTTGAGATTTTCCCATAAAGACCTCACTCTCATTCCCAGGAATGAGGGAGTACTCCATTATATACGTATGCGCAGTACCAAAGGGTATGGTTTTTGAGCTGTTTTGGTCAGAAATAGGGTATTGATTTAAGGGTCAGGTCTTATAAATAGGGTATCAAATTTTTGGTTGGATCATAACTAGGGTAGGAAAAATTGCAGATTTTAGTCTTGAAATTAATAAGGTAAGGGTTCTGAGAAACAGCTGCACATCCCCACCCAATTTTTCCAGGAGTATACCCTCACAGGCTCTCAGTTAATATAAATAAGTAGTTATTATTGAACAGATTATTTTAATAACATAATTTGGTAATTTTCATGTATAAATTATATATAGCTCTCTACAGTATAATTTAATAATTTATGGTTCATGTCACTATTTCACTCTCTCTGCCTTGCACTGGGTCTTGAGTTGTTTTGAAGTCCTCCTGTGGCTTTCTAGTTTTGTGCCATAAAATATACTTAAAGTGCACCTAACCCCCAAAATTTTTTTCGCTAAAATGAATCTAGACTTTATTTGAAGCATTTGGGCGAAGAAATTTTTGAATTTGGTTGATTCCTCGATTTTCTATGCCCTTTCAAAGTCACGCTTGAAGTGTTTCACGACCGTGTTTTGGGGAGTCTGGGGCGGCGGTACCTGATGACGTCTACCCAGGAACCAGTCAAGCCTCAGTCAACTCTCTGTATTTGCTCGAGAAAATAGAACACAAAACTGATCGTTCCGATGTATTTTGGCACTAAAACGTCCAAGTTTTGTCTCAGAATCATTTCTTTTTCATCACTGGAGTCAGAGTTAAGT